AATTACCACCAGATTGCTCGTCCAGGATGCTGCACACCACTCGTGCCCATGGCTGTTAGTCACGCTGCCACAGTGCCTTCCTATCAGCTTAAGCACTGACCTTTAAGAAGTTATAAATGTTATTTCAGCTTTAATATTCTGATTTTTATGTCCCTGGAAGTGATTAACAGCACTAGCTTTGTCTTTAGGTCCTTGCCTATTTGCTCACCACCTTCTGCTAATGTAACTTAATCATCACATGCTGCAGCACCCCAGGTTTCTATTCCTGGTTCTGTGAGATTGAAGGAGTAATAAGCAGAGCACACTGTGGGTTTCATTGCTCCTGAAAGCAAGAGGATTAAATCAGAGATTCATTTTGTTCTGTGTGTCATCTTTCTCATCTGTACAATGGAGACAACACAGCCATGGCTGAGAGACAGAGGGGCTTCCTCACAAAAACAATTACACTCCCATCTGTTAATTTTTTTTTGTCAGTTATCTTTGCAGTATAGTTGTGAGATTGTTAAATAACCAAATTCGTGTAACTAACAGAAAAGTAATCACGGCAAAGATCTCCAGGAATGTGCCGACAGACAGCAGACATGTTTCCCTGATCCAGACTCAGCAGTCAGCAAAAAGATTTGAAAGACAGGAAAGAGACTAGTTTGGATACAAAGGAGAGGATGGCAGGAACGTTAAGATGACAATTCAAGAAAATTTCTTGGAACAGTCACAAAAATGGAAATCAGCTGGAAATCCATCATTTCCTTGTATAGTGTACAAGAATAATGCTTAGACAGTGAGTAAAGACCATTTCATGGTAAAATGGTACATCACAGCGTGAGAAGTCCCAGTGCTTGTGGTGATGCTGACTGTGCACCATTTCCACACTTTTGTGTCAACACTTACCTTGGAGAACGTTAAACAGAAATCTACTGGACTCCTCCTTTACCAAAGGGCCAGGTCACTCCTCATGGCCCGTGCCCACTTCACCTCACCTTAAAGGACTTTTGAAAATTCACCTAACAAATGTGCTGCTTGTTAAAAGCCCTAACATCTCTTTAAGTAAAGACTTCTTAGATAAGCTGCTTAAATTATCAACAAACAGTAACTTTCTTGGTACGTTAAAAAGATTTATCAGCGACAGGAAATATATTACCATGCCCAGTGCAAGCTCCCTGCACTGACCTGACCTTCCATGGGGCCAGCTCAGCCAGAGGGAAACACGAACACAGCGAAGGCACGAGCGGGGCTGCAGAGCTGTCACAGCCCAAGAACGTGCAGGGACCAGCTGAGCCTCCCAGTCCCATCGGGAGAAAATCCCCGTTCCAGGCTCAGCAAGGCAGCCCCAGCCCATCCCAGCTGGGCTCCAGCACAAGACAAGGCAGCAGCGCTCTCCCCATCCTCTCTCCTGACGGGGTGACAACATTGGAGCGACATTGGGAGTTAGGAACCTGCTAAGGGACAGGAAGGGCTCTTTTTGTACCGCCTGGACGCGGCCAAAGCGATGGAGGGACGGGCCGGGGGAAACTGAGGCAGCAATTCCAGCACCGCGGAGCGGCCTCCCTGCAGCTGCCAGGCGGCCCCGCGCTGCCACCTGCGGGCAGCGCCGGGAATGAGCGCGGTGGGAATGACCGACACCGGGCCGGGAATGACCGACACCGGGCCGGGAAGGACAGCCACCGGGCCGGGAATGACCGACACCGGGCCGGGAATGACCGACACCGGGCCGGGAATGACCACGGTGGGAATGACCGATACCGGACCGGGAATGACCGACACCGGGCCGGGAATGACCACGGTGGGAATGACCGATACCGGACCGGGAATGACCGACACCGGGCCGGGAATGACCGACACGGGGCCGGGAATGACCACGGTGGGAATGACCGACACCGGACCAGCCCTGCCCCTGAGCGCTCCTGCAGGAACACCAGAGCCAACCTCCAGTCGCAGCTCCTTCTTCTTTTGTTCAGGATTCTTCTGAGGTCACTTTCCCAAATTTCAGGATGCAGTTCATTCCAATTGACACATAACTTCCACCAGGTCCCGTCATTGAAGCGTCTCCTGTGTCAAGTCTGTTTTATTACAGAGCCTAAATAGTAAAAAAAATGTATCCAAAGGCCTGGTTCTACTTTTTCTCTGCATTTTATCAGCTGGGTCTGTGCAAAACTGTATTTCCTCACACATTAACTATTTAAAGCATAGACAATTTCAGCTTGCAGAGGAAACTTGGAATGCAAGTTTCCCCTTCTTTCCCAAATAACTGAATTATCTCAGAACACTGTTACATAATGCTACACAACACTCCAGTATTATCTGTTTCAGACAGGTATAATTCCTGCGTATTTAACAACTCCTCCACAATTAGTAAATTAAAATATTTTAAATTTGGCATCTGTTCAGAATATACATTGCTTTAAAAGATATTAATACATATCTACTGGTCTAAAATATGTGAGTAATATAATGAAATTAAATTACCTTTGTAAAATATAAAGCAGAATAGTGATGCAAATATTTGCATTTGCATAGTTATGCAAACTCTTAATCATGAAGAACAATCACTGCTGTTAAAAAGCATAAGGCCACTAGGAATGGCTCCTGAGGAGGTCAAAGCATTCTTTCTTCATTTCCAAAATGACACATTCATAGCTTCTAACTACTGAAATAATAATTTGAAAGTTCAGAGATAAAAATATCTTTTATTACTACATTCACATTCCACTCTATGTAGTCTGATTTTTAGATGTCAGCACAGAATGAGTCAGCTTTGTTATTAACAATTCAAATGAACAATATATATTCAGCAAATTGATCAAGGAATTTAAACAACTTCTAAAATTAATTTTAACCAAGCAATCTGCTGCTTAGAATTTATAACACAAATGGAAACAGCTCAACAAGAATAAAGTTAACAATATTATTTAAGCAATTATAATGAACAAAAGTATTCTTAAGTCCTGTCACTTGTAAGAACAAATGAACTTCCTGAAATTTTACCAGCATGAGAACAGACACAGAGCAATCAATATGAAACTTTATAAACACTGAAGTAACAGATCTGTAATGGAGGGGCAGAATCAATAAGGAATCTAAATGAATTCAAGCCCTCTGACTTTTCAGAGCTTGCTACAAAACTGAAGAAGGTTTCTGTTACCAAAGTGGTAATTCCTATTCATGTGTTTGACTGAGATGACTGATGATGTCTTGGTGATGTCTTGGTGAGGCCTTTGGTGTGGGCTCTATAAATGGGATTATTTATTTAAGACTGCAATTTTCTGCTGCTAATCCCACCATCCTCCCTGATCTGCTCACTGAGCACAGAGATACTGGGGACTCTGTGGCACACACCTCCTGGCACTGCTTTGGGTCACAGAACAGCAGCTGAATTACAGAAGTTCCCCTAGAAGAGCAATGTAGACAGGTCACCAAGTACAGGATAAAGATGCTATGTTAATAAACTAACTGGCAAAAACGTAAAGTTTCATTGTTTCATTTTTCAAAGCAAAGCTGCGGTTGCTGTGAGCCTGCAGCTCACCTGGGGTGCACAGCACAGGAATTCTGTGTCCCTAACCACATCAGCAGAACCTGCAACCACAGCCTGCCCAGCCTGCAAACCCAAACCATTTAATGCTGGTCAAATTCCACACCATAATGAAGTTAACACAGATGTTAATCTTGAAATTGGGATGAGGGTTTGGCATTTCAATTAAATTCAGTTGTTGCATGACCTAATATTATTAATATTTGTTAGTTATGCTGCTACTTATTTATAATAAAATGTAACATAAGAATAGCAGCATTAAAGATGAATATTTTAAAAGTATTTAAGATTTTATGAGGCTTCCAAGTATTAATTATAAATGACAAAAAATGTGTGAACAGTGCATAAATGGCAATTGTGATCATTGTAATGAATCATAAAAATTAATAGTACTTACTGTAATGACCCTAAAAATTATGAAGAGTTAAACCCAGTAGTTCTTATAACCTAAGTTAGAGAAATGTATTTGACAGTTAAATTATTTTCTGATTTTTAAGTGTACTATAAACATGAACTTTCCTAAATAACACAGCTGTGCTTTATTGAAGATCTAATTAAAATCAAAGTCCTGGGTATGGTTTGGATCTGGTGCTACATGGAGGATCACAGATTTACATGGGAACACTTGCAAGGCTGGTTAAAGAAAACCCACCTGCATTCATCAGATCCCACCTGCATTCAAAAAAGAGCTTAAGGTCACAGAAGGTTTTACACTCCCAGAATGTGGGGGTCCTCCACACTTGTCTGCCACCCTGTTCCTGCTTCATTTTTGTCATGCAGTTGTGTCTGCCCAGCTAACTGAGCTGAGAAAAACTCAGACAAAAGATTAGTTTCCAATTACCAGTAGTATGAGGCATAAGAAATGGTGCTTTTCCACAAAATTGTGTCATTCATTCTATTGCATCATGAATTCGATTAGAAACTGAAGTGTTTGCAGAAAGGAGATTTAGTAAATGTACCTTGTACTAAAAAATCATTGCCTTTCATTTGCTCACCTCAGCAAATTACAAACACTGAAATTCAGGCAGCTCTCAGTGATACTGAGGGATAAACTTGCCTCAGATCTGCAATTCTGTGAGTAAAGCTGGAAAAAAATAAATGTAAGGGGAAACAACCAATCTATTGTTTAATAAATAACTGTGAAATGAGCTGATTTTTGCCATTCTGTTATTACCTGTATGTAATAAACCAGGTGAAAGTTGCCTCTGACTTTCACACTGTGCAATGGTGTTCAGGTTACACAGTAGAAACTGCAGCAAGGAGAAACATGAGCACAGGAGGGCTTCAACAGCTTCCAACCAGCATCTTTTCCACCCTTCTAAGTGAAGGTAGTTCCACCTTTGAACTGCTCAGTTACAACTGCTGAGGACAAAGAAGACCAGTCTGTGCATTACTGGTCCATCATGTTGAGGATACATTTAATGAGTTGCTTCTGCTCTGTGTTCCCTTGGAGCTGCTGTTTCTGCTTCCACCTTTCTAAGTGAAGGTAGTTCCACCCTTGAACTGCTCGGTTACAACTGCTGAGGACAAAGAAGACCACTCTGTTTGTGCATTATTGGTCCATCATGTTGAGGATACATTCAATGAGTTGCTTCTGCTCTGTGTTCCCTTGGAGCTGCTGTTTCTGTCCCATCTGAAACAGGAACAATCTCACTGGCACAATGTTCATTTTTCGCAGTAGAGTCATCTGGGAATGATTTCAAGGCAACTTTAAAAAAAAATTAAATATTGGGATGATTAACCAGAAAGACAAGTAAATATTTCAATAAATTTAACAAGTATGCTATTTATTTGGTGGAGAAAATGCTGCCACATCTTTTATCTTGCACTTTACTTGGGGAATGAATATATCTCCTGTTGAATATTACATTACAAGCCATGTTACTGAGTTTGGTATTCTCATCAGAGGAAAACTATGCATTTTTTAACTGGAAACTTAATTATCATATGCATCCTTTTTCTTTTTTAATTATTAGCACAGCAAATCACTGACAGCCCCAGTCTCATAAGTCATCATCTGCAAAGCCACCCTGTGGATCCCACAGGTCTCTTCAAGTTGTGCAAGAAGAGGACAGTGATTTATAAATACTTGCAAATGTCAGTTTTGGGGAAAACCTTCTGGAAAGCACAGAAATTTCTAGGTTTTGTGTGAGTCAATTAATGAACTGAATATCTGCACGAACAACATCTGAAGATACATTATCACAGCTCCAGAAAAACAAGCTTTCAGATGAAGGTATTTACAAGATATCAAAAAGAAATTGTTTGCAAGTAGGAAAACATTAATAAGCAACAAAATCTAATTACTGCAAAAACATAAACACTGCAGCTGTAACACTTCTCTCTAACCATACCATTACAGCCTCACCAGTGAAAACAGAAGTGTCAATGCTAATGTAAACTCAGCTGCTGATATATATTCATTAGATTCAGAAAAGCTCCAACATTTTTTCTTCTCACCACATCAAATTTTCTCTCAGTGCAGATACAATCTGATACAAAGGGTGAGGTTTAGGGACCCCCTAGGCCTAAGGTGTATCTCCATTCTTGTCTGTTACTCCAAAAAATTCATCTGAAAGCATTGCTAAAAAGGGGGCTCAGGAACTGGAGCAGGGAACAGCCCAGGATGGGACCTGTGCAGAGACCCAACTCACACGACAAGAATTTCTGACACACAATAAAGCCTATTCTCAAATATTCTTCCATTATTAGCTTCACTGTGAAACAGCAATTAAGCAGCAGGGAAGATTCAATGCCTTAGCCTTTTAGTCTTGATTCTAATTTACATGATTAAATCCTAACTTAGTCACTGATTACCTTCTGGCTTAGCACGCTTCGCGTTCTCATGGATTTTATTTTTGCCTTTGCTTCCTTTTCTGGGTGTAGCAGTTTTTGCCTTCACCAATCCACAGTTTTCAGCATGCTTACACATATTACTCTGTTAGCATAATGAAGAACAAATATATCAATCAAATATTAATCCATGTAAGCAATTTAACAGACACAAAGCAAACATGGCTCTGACAGATAAGTTCTGGAACACTAAGTAGAAGACTGACTTAGTTAACAACTTCCATAAAACTCCTGAAGATTTTCCAGAATATATATTAAAATTCTGCTTTAAAAGAACATTGCCATTTGGTGGGTATAAAATAAAATTTATCATTTTCTGGTTCCTGGATAAGCAATAAAGTTTCACACGTAAAATCTGTATGTGGAAAAAGGGTCACATTTACTTTAAAGTGTGCACAGTTAAGCCAAAATGAGAATATGTTCTCATTGCATATGGTTTTGAAGTGAATAATAATTTCTAACTTTCCTTGCTGAATGGGTCCTAGCTATCCTAAAAGTACTCTTTAAAATAAATTTTTCAGTTCAGACTGAATTTATTCTGCATCACCACTGAAAATCACATTTCAGGCTCAAATGCTGCATTTTGTTCTTTATCACAACATCCCTGAAAGTGACTTCTCTTACTTTATATTTCTAAGCAGTCCAATACAAAAGACTTATCAAGAAGATAGACTCATCCTTCCAACATATCAATTTCAATTTGTGAAAGATTTACCCTGGAAATAAGCACCACTACACTATTTCAGTTGGACTGCAGTCACAAAAGTTTTTATTTTCTTAAGGTACCTATAACCCCAAGGCCAACTGTGGCTCACAACAGCAGCAGCAGAGTGAGCAGTATGTTCCCAGGAGCTGGAATACCTGGTTACACGTGCACACCTGAGCACACCTGAAGCTCCTCTCACTCCTGTGGGCCTTCCTGTGCTGAAGGAAGGCGTAGCGCTCGTGGAAAGCTGCCTCGCAGTCCCTGCACTTCACGGCCTCTTCCATGTAGGAATGCAGATTCCTCAGGTGGACACCTGGACAGGTATTCAGAACAACTCGTTTTAATGGCAAGGGTTTTATTTTCAGAGTTTTGAACAAGAGCTGGGCTGTGTATAACCCTGAGAAATGCAAATCTTGTAGAGGAAAGCAAAAAAGAACCTTCCATGCCCTGTGCAATGGGGTAAAATACACAGATTAGTTTAAAATTAAACAAAAGATGCAGCAAGATGTTGTAACTTCCCAAGAAATCAAGCAGTTATAAGCCTGAATCTTACCGATTTCAGTGGAAATAGTTTAACAAATCAATTAAAAAATCCAGATTTAACCCAGAATTTTCACGTATTTCTGGAAACTTAAAATTCTGTATAGGCTTTTTTGTTACTGGTCAGCTCTGTTGCTGCCAACACTTCTGAAAAAACAGAGGGTCACAGTGCCACAGGTATCAAGCAAATAATAAAACAGAAAAAGCTAAGGATTTGCTACTTTGCATTTTAAACAAATTAAAATATCAACCACAAGATGTCACCACATCTCCTTGCAGGAAGAATTTACCTGTAAAACTACAAATAATTTTACTTAAAATATTCTGTGATAATATGAAGTCAGCTATAACATATTTGGTGAAATTTTGTGAAAATTAGAGATTTCATCTCTACTTATCTCTACATTTTGCTGTCAGTGGTTTCCTTTAAACTCACCCAAGTCACTTTTTCGGGAAAGGAAAGTACTACAATGTGGACATTGGTGTTTTGGCACATTTTCTCCATGCTTCTGTAACACATGGATTTTCATGGTACCACTCTGAGTGAATCTGGCTTGGCAAACGTAACATTCATAGCGTTTTTCACCTATTAAAAAGAAATTTAAATAAGATATGCTTAGAAACTGTACTTATTTGATATAAATTCAAATTCCCACAGAATTCAACATCCATGTTCCAACAGCAACAGTCTCCAGATCAACCAAAAGTTAATATTGGTTGACAGTGCACAAAAGGCCAAACAAGTCTCCAGAAGTTTACATAACTGATTGCAACACAAAATCTTGGCTTTCTGAGTCCACTAGTCAAACTGCTGAAGCATAAAGCCATTTATATAATTCTAAACTAGGAATCAGGAATTATTTTAAATTATCATCTATTCTTCCTTGAATACTTCATGTACAAAAATGCAGAATTATCTTCAAATATGCAAGGAGAGAAAGTCAACAGCAGTAAAACATCATGGTAAGAGTGACACACCATTGATAATGGTGGGAAGAAAAATTAGGAAATTATTTTCGTGCCTTTCTTCCCCAAAAAGCCACATCAGGTGTGACTACCATTAAAATTACATCAGCACTGGCAACTGGCACAGCTTTGAACCACCTCCAGACTGGTTCTGTGGAAGAAGTCCCTGCCAGGAGTGGCTAACACTCTTGAACCCTTCCAGTTGGACTCTTGTGGTTGATTCTCATAAAAAAATAATTCAGTTTAATTGCACCAAACTGTCTCAAGATACGAACCAATGCGTGACAAGTGGGGATATTTGGTAAATTTGATTCAAACCATGCTGTCACACTGTGATTCAACCTAAAACATTAATCAGAGCACAAATTGCATATCATAATTGAGCCAAGCTAAACCCTGAAGTACAGGATTGATTGCCCCTGAGAGGACTTGCATGTTACAGAACTATGACAAGAACACACTGCTTCCAATATTAAAGCAATTTAATTCTTTGTTGACCAAATTAGTTGCTGGCAATCTGGGGTCACAACAATATCCATGGTCTGAACAGAGAGTTAAAAATCTCTCATAGATACCTCTCCATGCAAAATCAACTAATTGAGAAATAAAGGTGACAACCTGACCCACAGAAAATGAAATATTTCTCTAATATAAAAGAAGTTTAGGAGGAACAGCAAGACTAACTACTGGGCTTCCAAGTGCCAAATCCAGAACACTGAAAGAGAACATGTTTTTACTCCAAGTCACAAATTAATAAAGGGCTAATTTTGAGGCTGAAATAAGACTGCTCCAACCCCATGAATATTAAGGAGCTGAGGCCCTGGACTTGATCACTGGCCCAGAATGCTACCTGTGTGAGTCAACATGTGCCTTTTCAGCTTGTAGGCATCTTTGCTGGCATAGCTGCACAGGTGACAGGGGTAGGGCCGCTCTCCGGTGTGCGAGCGAACGTGGCGTCTCATCTTGCTGGCCTCAGACAGAAACAAGAGATTTTCTAAAGTAACATCTACATTAGAGATACATTTAATTAAAATGCAAGTTATTTTACAATTTTAATTGTGTTAATCCTAGAATTAGCACTCTCACATCTGTGGTTTTCCCTGCACAACCAGCCTGCTGTGGCTTTAGGACACTGCTGCACTTTTTCCCCATATTATCTTGCTTCCATATTTAGTGTCCACATTAGCAAAATGAGAAATTTTATAATAAAAACAAAATAGATAAAATTTTAAAAAGAGGATACCTACTACTGTCAGGCTACTTGGATATACCAAACATAAAATTCTTTGAAAACACTCAGGAAAATAAATGAAAGACCAAACTCATTATGCAAAGTCTATTCACCTTCAAGTCCCAATGAAGCACCTTAGTTACAAAGTTTAATTCAGTTCTACTTGTTTATGCTGTTTTTCTGATATGTTCTACATAAATATTGTAGATATGTCATTAGGAGTTATCAAATGTTCAGTTCTTCCATTTATGAACACAATTAATGAATTCACTACTAGATTCCTTCAAATCTACACTACTATTCACTTAAAATTAAATATGACTGGCAACCTTTGATACACAAAAGTGCAATAATTTGCATGGCAGTACTGGAGAGCTCTTTCAGCTTTCTTCATTCAGGTAAAGCTTACCTGAATGTGAGTTCTGTAACAGCAGTGAATGCTGAATGCTCCTTATTGAAACGAGGGAAAGAATAGGGGAATTTAATATCAGCTGTCAGGCTTTTTAAGGATGCAAGCTATCAAAAATCTAATTACTAAGATAAGGTGCATGGAATAAAGTTCAGGATTGCTTACAGCTTTAGATCTGGACACAGCACAAATTCAGATATTGAACATCCACTAAACTGTGGCAGTGATTCAATCACAGGTGCATTTCTAAAAGCCTGTGCACCCAATTCAATTGCAATTTCCAACTGCACCCTTAAGCAGACTCTTAAGGTATTTTATTCTTGATGAAGAAAATTCTAGTTCTGGAAAGAACCCATACATCATCAAGTATATAAACACAATACCTGAACTTCTTTTTAGACATTAGCTAGTATTGTCCTACAGTACCTGGAATGCAGTGTAAATGAGGACCAAAAATGCTTTTGTAGGACCAAAATCACACAAACACATTGTCTAGCAGCAATTTTAGCATAACAGAAGAGAAAAAGCTCTTGAAATACAACTAGTTAAAAAAACCCTAAATAATTGTATGAATATTAATTTGGACCAACACATTTGCAAATACTACAGGGACAAATAAGGGTTCCAGGAATTCAGGTTACTTGTTCCTTTTTTGCAGGATGATGGGGATGAAAAGATGTGCACACAAATGAAATGTAATGCAATGAAATGAAATGTAATTAAATAAATGCATGGCAGCACAAAGTTGTAGCCATCAGCCACCTTGCAGTAACACTGCAGCACCATAACAGATAAACACAATCCATCAGTGTGTCCAAGGCCATCAAGCAGAGCCTGGACTTCTCACGTTTAAAAATCTGGGCAAAAACTGTATGTACATTAAAATCCTGGGACATGAAAATCTTCACACCCTCCCAAAAGATTCAATAAGGCTGTACTTACTTCTACACTGGAGTATTCACATATAGTGCACTTGAAAGGCTTCTCCAAAGTGTGCTTGTACCTCCTGTGTCGTGCAAGCTCCCCTCGGGTCACAAAGGCTGTGTCACACTCACTGCATTTATGGGGTTTGTTCCCTGCAGCAATACATGTGAGACTTTTACTCAACACCACAGAAATGTGATTTGTTTGCCTTACATCAACATGCAGAAGTTTTTAATGGAACCTTTTCTGATATTCTGATTTTTTACATACAATAAACCATAGAATGATTTGGGTTGGAAAGGACATTAAAGCTCTTTTTGTTCTACCCCTTGCCATGGGCAGGGACACCTTCCACTGTCCCAGGTTGCTCCAAGCCCTGGTCAACCTGGCCCTGGACACATCCAGGGATAGCACAGCCACAGGTTCTCTGGGCAACCTGTGTCAGTGCCTCACTACCCTCCCAGGTGAGAATTTCTTCCATATATATGTATACAGTAAGTTTATTATAAACACAATTAATCACTTTGCTTCATATGTTTATATAGCAAAATTAAAACATCACAGAAAATTCTATTCTGCATGCAGGAATGAAGCACAGCTGAAATCACTGTTCAGCTGACAAGAACTGTTAGAATGGTACTTAACAAAAAAACACAAATACACACACACAGAGTTCCTAACTACAGACCATGTCTTTTCAGTGCGGAACGCCACAGAAAATCAGAGGAATTTCTGAGCATAAAATGATCACAGAACACAGCTCTAAGGCAAAGCCACTTGCCTGCTAATTCAGTTTTGCAGACAGTATGTAACACAGGTACCTGTATGTGTGTTGACATGGTTGTGCAGCAGAGCTGCTGTACGGAAGGCCTTGGGGCAGAGGTGACACGCGTGACGTTTCTCATCCGAATGGGTTTTCAAATGACGCCTGAGACTCGATAACTTGACTGAGGTGAATGTGCAGAAAAAACAGTTGAATTCTTTTTCTCCTGTTGGAACAAAGACACATTTACACTGTACATGCCACAAAAGAATGATTTTTTCTAAAAATGGTACCAGTTTCTAAAGAGTCCCTCTAGTCTGGGTAAAACTACTTCGAACTTCTACATCAAAGGATTCATTAAGGCTTAAGTGATTTGCCCCAAAATTGTGTTAATTGTTGGTGCTACAGTTTAGAATCTAATCCCAGGAAACCTAACTCCTACTCTTGCCCTCACCACCAAGCCAGGAGACTTCCTCTCTACGTACCATCTTTAAGACTTACAACCTGTGCAACAAACTTCTTGATAACAACTGTGTAATTAGCACTAGGTAAATTTATGCAAAGATTTGGAAATGGCAGGTTAAGCTATTCCCAGCTTTCTGGTGCTCCTGAATCTGTGAAGTGCATATAAAAAAATCATGATGTGAAAGCCTCTTTAAAATTACTGGTTGAATTTGAGGGGAAAAGGTCAGTTCTTTGGAGAAGTCATAGAATAAAGTTCGGGGCACAAGAGTAATGAATTTCTTTTGAGAGTAACAAGTTAAAATTAAATGTGCAACACTTTTAGTTATGAAGAAGATCTGAAACTGTGAAATGGCAAATACGTCATATTTGAAGAGTCTTTCCAGAACAGTTGTCTCAGCTCCCAAGTGTGCTCTCTGTAATGATTTTCATGCTGAGACCAAAATGCATTTTATACAATGCTTTATACCACACAGAGATGTGCAGATAACACTTCTCTTCAGTAAAAGCAAACAAAACCATTTTATTGTCATTTGTTCATTGTGGATTCATGCCCACACAAAGGAACATTGTTAGCTTTGTTAAAACTGCTCAAATGTGCTTCCTATAAAGGCTGTAACTGAAACAGGGGACATTTACAATTTGTACAGTATCCATAGAGAGCCCCAGCCAAGATACCTTAACTTCCAGATACAACACACACATTTACAGACTCAACATCATTGATGTCATCCAATTTTTACAGTACACACACAGTTTCTAGGGAAACAGATGCTTATCTATTCTCTTTTGAGTCAGTCTTTAACTTCTGTAACATACTTTTAGGTTTCTAACATCTTAAATCAGCCATTTTCTGTTACTCTTATTTAGGCTCTGGGAAAGGCTTTGCTGACAGGTATTGATTGGAAAGTGCCCACCACCCTCTGCTGGCAACGTGGAACCACTCTGAGCTCAACCATAAACCCTCAAACAAGAACATTTTGAAGCTGAATGAGTGGATGAAGACACTAAATAAATTAGTAGGTTTATTCAAAGGCACTTATACAATATTAACTTTGAAATCTCCCTGGAGGTTTCAAATACCACACACTGTTCAAAAGACCTTTAATTCCTAAATGCCATCCAAAATGTCTCTCCTCAACACAAGGCAGATGACAGCAGCCTGAACAAGATCTTTGAGCACTTAGGGCTGAAGGTACTATTTTTTCTTTCAAATTTCCACAGAATGTTAAGACTTAACTTAATCTAAACAATTACCACTGTGAGTATTTAATGCAAAACTTCAACCTCAGTTCAAAATCTAACTTAACATCCCTTATCTAGAAATTAACTACGAAGATCATTAATTTTTTACCTTTATCCTGATGTGGAGCACAAGCCTCAAATTTTAGATTCTTGAGATTTCTTACAACTGTTTGTTCTGATGCAGTTGGATATTCCTGCTCTTTACTTCCATTGAATAAGTCTGACAAATCATCACCCCCTTTGCAGCTCTGAGTCTTTGCTTCCCCAACAGTGGAAAAAACTTCCTTTCCTTCCCCCTCTTCTGATGGGTTCAGTTTCTGGATGTTATTTTCAAATGTAATGGTATCAATGTCTCTGTCAATCTATTTTAAAAAATAATATGTTTTACAACTTTCTCAGTTAAAGGCAATAGCTAGTGGCAAATCAACAGAGCAGTCAACAAAATGCAAGCCACCAATTCATTCTAATTTTCAGCCTTACATGTGATGGACAAAATTTGCATTTAGCACGCAGCACCCTAAATGGTAAGTTACAATTAAATAAGAATAATTACTAAAATGATGCCCTCCTTCCCTCTTCAAAATTTTATATAAAATTTCAGAGCATCATTTTAAGATTGCAGCACTGAGAACACAAAAAAAGTATTTTTATTTTTTAAAGAAAATATTTTAAATTTCATTTTACTACTTTTAAAAGGAAATTAGAAGTATGCTCTGTTTTTTAACAAATTTAGGACTTCTGCAGGCTAATTGCAATGCCTTCTTTGCTGTATACCAATTAACCAGGTTGTGATACTTCTTGCATTAGCTAGACTCAAATATGGTAATATGACCTACCTCAGAAATTATCTAGTGATGCATGAATTTAATAAGAAAAAATGTGGTATTTAATTGTAAAATCATTATAATAGCTAGCACAGGACAAAACAGGAGTGTTGCATGTCCTTTATAATAAAATTCATTTCAAATGAGACTGTATTACATAACCAGCTTTAACAATGACTGAAGGATTGAACTAATTGAATTAAGGAGAAAAAGAGAAATTCTGTAATGCTGCTTAAGAGATGGAGGCTATCAAACAAATAGTAGCAAACTGACGAACTAAATTAAAAACTTGTCTGAATTTCAACAGTTAAATATTGTCACAGTATCTTCTTGATAATCTGGGTCTCTTCCAACTCAGAATATTCTCTGAATTCAGAAAGTCTAAACTTCTAGTTTGTCCTTTTAAAAATGAGATGAAATTGTAAAAAGATGCATAGCGAACTGGATACTTAAGCCCAATAAATAATATTAATGCTTAATTCAGAACCAAATCAGTGTGACAGCAGAAGCTAACAGGGAACAACATATGTCTAATTTCACTTTGTCCAGAATTTGTACCTCCATCAGGAGCGTGTCTGCTGCTTTCTCTGCCGCCTTGCTTCCTGCACTCTTTCCTTGCCCTTCTTCTTGAATTACAGGGATCTGCACCAGCTCCAAGTCCTGGAACACGCGGGTGCCGTCCCGCGGGGTCAGGGCCATGCCCGGGGGCACCACGGCCTGCATCGGCCCGGGCAGGGCGCTGCGGGCTCCCTGCACACACACCGGCTGTAGGCTCGGTGCTCCTCACCCTCCTGGGACACAGATCAGGATCCTGTGGGCTCCCTCCACACACACCGGCTGTGGGCTCGGTGTTCTTCACCTCCTGGGACAGATCAGGGCCCTGCGGGCTCCCTCCACACACACCGGCTGTAGGCTCGGTGTTCTTCGCCCTCCTCAGACACAGGGCCGCTCTGGCGGACGCGTGTCCCGCCCGCACCGCGCTCCCCGCTCCGCTCCTCTCCTGCGCTCGGGTCAGCCTGGCCTCGCCGCCCTTTCCGCTGCAGAGCGCTCCTGTTCGGGGTTAAACACCAGGGCAAACCACGGGCGTTCAGGACCAGCCCCAGCCCTGCTCCTCGCCCGGGTTCCCCCGGCTCCAGGCCCCTCTGGGCCGCTGCGGGCGGTTCCCCCGCGGGGAGCTGGGTCCCCCCGGGCTGCTGGGCCGGGGCCCCTCGAGGGGAGGCGGCAGGGAAGGGGCTCAGCACAGCCGTGCACCTCGGCATGGCCGCCTCTGCCTCCCTGTGCTGCTCCCTCAGCAGCGGCTGGTGTGGGAGCCCATTCGTGGGTAGTTTCTAGAGAACAGCTGCTTCTCACCTGTTAATTCCCTACAAAACACAAAGGCCCGAACCTGCGGAGGTTTCCCTCCCAATGCTCCAGATGCGCGGTGCTCCTTGGTCCCCACACACTGCAAGTCCTGTCAGAGCAGCTGCCGTTTTCTCACCCTCTGAGCCAGCAAAGATGAAGCTCTCTTGGCCTTAATTGTAGGCCCTTAACCTTCTGCTCCCACTTTGCTGGAGACCACGGGGCTGAGCTCAATTGGATTTTCCACTTGGGAAATATCTGAAGCACTTGCCATGTTTCTGTGACGGAAAGCCTCCAGCCGGGAGCCCGGTGCTGGAGTGCCGCTGAAGGGCCGCCTGATGCTGCCGCCGCAGAAGTGGTGTACAAAACTGGCTCGAGTGGCTTTGCAGAGGCAGTGGAGCGATGTATAAGCATCGTTACACTGTACCTTAGGCCAGGATTGGTTATTCAGTGAGAATAAGTTGAAATGCTTCTTTCTCCAAAGGCATTGTGAAAACGTCTTTGAGGTTTTACACAGTTTGAGTGACTTAACATTTAATCTTGTGTACCCTTCTAGACTAGTAATTTCCAGCCATCAAACATTTTATAAAACCCACTTACTTTGAATACTCTATTATATGCCAGTGCAGACGATAAATTTGGAGCTTTACATCTAGATATTAGCTCTGTGCATTGCAGGGTACAGTACATTGCACAGGGACTGCAGCCCAATGTGGTCCAGATCCTGTTAAACTGAATTATCAAACACTCATCAAAGCCCCAAACCAAGTGGTGGCTTTCCTTGTCTGTGGAAGTAACCCAGGACATCTGGCATTTGTGAAATATCTGTAGCACAAACAGCAGCCCACACCACTGGCCTTTGAGCAGCACCCTCCGATGAGGTGGGGTTATCAGACCTCATCCTCAGAGACATCAACTGAAAATCCCATAAACACCCTTGACAACAACCACTCCTATCCACAGTTCTGTAAAATCTTCAATGCAAAAATAATACAATATGTTTACATTTAACAACTGCAGCTTAGTCATAACTATTCTACTGCTTGGAATCAACACAAATCCAAAGCAATTATTTAAGGCTGAATATCTATTCCAGCAATTTAATGCTGATATTTTGGTTAGACACCACATTATTCATCATCCACAAATCCACGGGCTCTCAAAACTAAAGAACAGGATGCAGAGTACACAATATATTCACATAATTAGGCTGCTGGCAACTGTGGCCAGAGATTTTACTTCTTACACATTTCTAGATCTTTTCAAGTTGCTCCATATACTGTGCAATTATGATAGTTGAAGGGCACTGTAGGAAAAAAGTTGTTATAATAATACGCCATCCTTTAGGTTGTTTTAATGAGGTTTTCTGCACTTCAGCAGACATCAGCTTCTAAGAGCTGTCCTGCCTTGCACTTCTGCATTATTAATACCAGCACCATCCATGCAGCTACAGTAAAGGTCTGTCATTATTTCCATTATTAACCGATATTTCCAAGGATTTATAGCTCAAATGCAGAATAGCCCTTCAGTTCATTTTTTGCTGAATTTAAAGGAACCACTTGGATCAGCAATCTATGAATTCAGCCAGTTTCTGAGCAGGTTTTGACACACTAGAGGTTAACAGCTCCGTAATGGCCATTATGGTGTGTTGTGTGAACAGTCTCCACTTACTGCTGCTGCTGCATTCTCTATCTCTAGCTGCAATCAAGCTTCTACCCACTCCTCTGGGAGTCTGATTCTTTCTAACACATCAACATCCTGCATGAAAAGTCTATCAGGAAAGAATAGAGATGTATTTTATATTTTAAGTCATAATTATACTTTTGGTGGGTAAACGTTCAAAATGAATTATTGTTTGTTAGGGGTATTTCATAAGGAGCAAAAGGAATTTAATGTAAGCACATTTTCTTGTGCTAAAGCAACATTACATAAAGAAACAAAATTCAGCCACAAAATTGCAGATAAATTACTGATAAGAATCTACCAGTGCATGAAAGTGAATACATGGACAAGTAAAAGCCTCAATCAGCAGAGTAAATTTCCTTGGCTGCTCTAAGGAAACACAGCAAACTTTGTTCTGATCTGTGGTTTTCCACCCAAGTATAAACAGTGCAGCTGATTTTTTTAAAGTAAAATACTGGGTTATCTGTTCAGATTGCCAGCCTTAAATCGGAATAATGTCTTTTATAATATTTAAGATGTTTACTGTGTGTTAGGTGGAGCTGACTTTTTAAAAAGCTCCATTACCATATACATAAAGCATATTTGACCTTGAATTAGTTCAAGGTTTGCTTCCCTTACTGTGTTTCAGAAACTCACTTTGGATGACTGCAGAGGCTGTTTATCCATCCTCTCTGGTGATGCTTTGCACCTCCATCACAGGTTCTAAACTGCACTCCTCTGATGCCAATGGAAGGATTGCCATCAATTTAACAGGGCTTGGAATTAGGCCCAGAGCAGATAACTATGTGAAGCAATGACAGTGGGATTTATTTACACATTTCTGACCTGTCCACAAACTGTAGAGTAAATCAGGAATGCTGCAGTGCACTTGAAAGAGAAAAAGAAAAAATAAAGAGACCAAAGCATAAAACCCCAAAACAAATAGGTTCAAATTTAACCTCCAATGCTCATAATTGTTTCATTATGACACTCTGCCTTATAGCTGAAACCTCCATTCTTCTCCAGAACACGAACTCCTGTTAGTCTAGGAGAAAACCCAGTCTTTGTTGTGACTTATTTTGACAGCTTTAATATCATTTTCCACCTGGCATCTGGAAAGTTTTCCATTTTCACTTTCCACCAATGTCTCACTTTTGTTTCCAAGTATGTGTCGCGTTCACACCGCACCTGTCAGCGGTGTGTGTGCCTTAGCACCAGGCTGCAAACACACATGCCTCCCCTTTCCTCCTACCCCAGGGACAATCACTACCTTCAGCACCTCTTTTGCAGTGAGATATTGCCCCTCTTAATAATGACAGCACCAGATAACCTCCTTCACACCATCACCTGCTTCAGAGAAAGCGGGGATACTTTTACAATCTCCTAATTCATCTGGCTCTTTTAAATATTGCTCAGGTCTTGAAGCTGTCACTAAATGGTTGAAGTATTTTTGCTGTATTTTCTGACGCTCCTCATTTCTTTGGTGTCCCACTTTCACAAATATGAAGCATTTCTTCAGAGACCACCAAACTTAATTAAAAAAAAAAAAGAAAGCACATCAGCTAATGAGTGAGATAAAAAGTTTATGTTCTTTTTGATGCTGTTCTAAGCAACTGAATCTTGCAGATTCAGAATTGAGTCAGTGCTTCAGTGCTGGCCTGGAATATTCTCAGGAGAAAATATACAGTTTGATCACTTGGAAAAAAGAATATTATTATTTTTTTATTTTTTCCCCCAGTCCTCTGGTTCAGAGATGGAAGCTAGAGTTTATTTTAGCAGACATCAGTTAGGATTTAGATCTGACTTGGGTTTCTTGCCTGCCCCAAAGAACACAATTCTCTGCTCCCTATTGCTACAGTCATATAAAAAGCTATCAGACCTCAGACCCAGGAACATCAGAACATGCAGTCCTACTTGTTTCCTTGCTGAATCCCCAAAGCAGAGAGAAGATGGGAGCACAGCACAGCAAAGCCAGATGGAAATCATGCTGGAGGGTATTGATTGACTAGTGTCTAGGCAGGCTATAAATTACCACTTCTCATGCAAAGAGGAGGGTGAGCAGAGCTGCAGAGCTGTCTCAGGGCACAGTGCTTGGACTGTGCTGTTCATGCAGGATCAGCTAAATTTGGGTTGTGCCTAAGGCACGGGGAAAGCCAGGCTTTGCTCTCTCTCCAATGCTCATCTTGACTTGGAGGAGACAAATAATTTCTGTAAATATGAGTGATTCTTGCAGCAGAACAAAAGCAGCCCCTATTAAGTTAAAAGACTTAATGCTTTCAAGTATTGTCTATGCTCTTAAAATCCTGCTCCATACTGTAAATTATTATAATTATATAGCATGACAAAAAACCAAGACTAATAGAGTACAGATGTGGGATATATAAAAGAGGAAGTATTTAGCATAAGCTTATTGGAGCTGAAAGTACCAGGGATGATTGATTGCTTAGACACAAGTCAGGGAAGTGGTCTAAAAATTATTAACCATAATTGCAATTTGTCTATTAACTGTTTCATCTAACATTATGATATATTTAGAAACAGTCCTACCATCCACTAATACACAATTTGCTCCTTGTGGCAAACAGCAGAGCTGCGTGCCCGGATCTGTTTGCAAGAAGGATGTTTATTGGGAAGCATGTCACTTATTCCATTTCAAAAGTCATTAGTGTGGTTATACAGTTAACTACACCTCAGTGACTTCCACTGTTTTTACAGAATACTCTTTAATCCAACAGATAGCAAAGAAAGTTTTTAGTACAACTCGCCTTAGTTAGTTATTACAGGTTTCTGCTGCTGTTTGTGCAAGGGTGGAAGAGTTAAAAGTTTAAAAGGCAGAAAGTTTTCCTCTTGTTTTGACTAAACTAGGGGAAACGTGCTGGAGCTGTGCAGAATTTGATTGCCAAACACAGATAGAAGATACACAGTGAGAAAAGATAGTAAAGGTTTAACCCAGCTGATGTAAGAAACAAACTCCAAGGATGCCCATGTTTCCTTCTTTTATCGCACTGTTAATCTTTAATCAGGAAAACAGTTCTGAGAACAGCTCTTTGTGCACAGCTGAACAGACACCACAACTTGGAAGTTAATAGGATCACTGAAGAATGAGACTATTAAATTATTTTCCTGATAAATCTGTGAGTGAGATGTACAAACCCAGAGGAGTTCAAATTCTGCTTCCACGTGGACGTGCAGCAAGTACAGGTTAAACCTTGCAAAATCAGCAGTAAGGAGGTGGTTGATGGGTTCAGAAGAGCAGTGGGTTCCTGTGCACGTATTTTCCAGCTCAGATGACAAATCCTCTTGGGCATTAAACTTTCTGAGGAGTCCAAATCAACGTCTTAATTAAAAAAATCTAAAGAAATCAAGAAAATTTAAGGGAGTATTTAGCAACTTGTATATTGATGTCACTTCACTGAACAGCAGGTGGTGTAGTCTGTGATATTTATCAGCAGAAACACCTTAAATCTTAGGTTTTTGCACTGCTACAATGTTGAACCATCACTTAAAGTCCACAACCAGATAGTCCCAGGCCTCTCCATCAGGAACTGGTAATGGAAATATGGTATAGCAGGCTTAGTTGTACATCTTTTCTGCTCCTGTAAGAAACAAAGCCAACCTTATAGTCCTTGTAACTTAAACATCAAGGTGAGGCAGTGTCTAGAAAGCAGATGAGAATACCTGGGTGACACATTTTGTGAATCACAGTTATTACTCCATTCAGAGCTGCCTCTACAAACTGAAAGTCTCTTGATCTGTCATTCATATCCATCTTTTGTTTAAGGCTTTCTGGGCAGAGAACATCTATGCTGCACCTAAAATAAAAAGGTACTTAGTGCTATTTAGAGCAAATACCTGATCTTTCCAAGGTTAGCAAGTGCATGGGGTTTTTAATTTTTTTTGCAGAATGCAAGTTGGTTGCTGTTCATTTGTACATAGTGGTTTAAGCACACAAGTAAGAAACTTCTCTTTACATAAACAGTATTCATGTGCATATATATCATCCTGAATCAGTAAATTTGGAGACACTTACAGATGGTCAGTCAAAGATGCACATGTAGCAGTCAGAATTATGTCTTCCTAAAAGCATAAGAAAAAAAAGCACGATATCAAGTGTCCAGTTGAACTCCTGATCTCTTTACTGAGTGTTGTTTGTAGAAATAATCATAATTGTGGCATTTGTCTGGTAGGAACCATTTACCCTGACCAAACAAAAGTGCCTGTACATTGAAAAAATCCCATTGTTGTCCCCTGATGTTGCCTTATGCCTGTTAGAATGGTGCTAAGCAGAAGTGTACAGTATGTAGGATTTCTTACCTGACCTGTTAATACTTACATAAGAGTTTTCCAGTAAACAGAGGATTCATTGCAGGGATTATTGGTTTTTGTGCAATGTTGATTTTCCTCCAGCTGCCAGGTTCAAGAACCAAAAGGTATGTAGTGCTTGACATAGGCACTTTTGCCTTCTGACCTTTAGATGTAGCTTGGCTTTCATTTCTGCATAATCAGCTTTTCTATCCTGTTGTTGGGCTTTTAGTGTTATAAAATGCTTGAAATATTAATCAAAGCTGTTTTCCTGGGGAAAAAGTATAGAACAAACCTCACTTGAAACAAAAGACACAGTGCAGCCCAAGATGCTGCTTTTGCTTTGCTATTGAAGGAGAAAACAGTTTATAGTAAATGCTTTTCATTTCAAGTAAGAACTTACTATTTGCATTACAGTAACCTAGAGAGAACCCAGCAGGAGTGGTCTGTGGGACAGACAAAAATGAGAAAAGATAATAATGATGTTTAATGAGGTTTTAAGTTTCTCTAACTGGCAGCTATCAACCAAACTAGGAGAAGTAGAGCTGGGTAACCCTGAAAGGACAACTGCCAGCACAGTGCTGCTAGCAGGCAAAGCATCGCGGAGAAATAAGGAACGGCGTGCAAGAGGAAGGAGTCAGGGGAGCCAGGGCTGTCCCATCCTAGAGAAAATAAATACATTTAGAATATAAAAAATTCTTTAGGCCTGAGGAGGTGAGTTCTCTGTAAAAGGGCACAGTTAGCAGAACATCAGTCGTCCACAGGAAGCAGAAATTCTTGAACAAGAGGTGCTTGAACTCATGTGCAAGGATTTGTCTGTTCCCTACTCAAGTAGGAAGCAGGAAGTCCTTGACAGCTGCAAGCACACCTTTACTGTGGTAAAGAGATTTCACTCCAGCAAGGGTAACCATTTTTATTTGCAAACTGGATTTGGAGCCATCTGGGCTTTGTGGAACTGAGCAGAGCAGGTGCTGAATGGTAAAGGGAAACACAAACCTTTTGCTGATTGTTTTTCACTCTGGTTAGTATGGTTTGTCCCATTCTCTCCTGGCTGTGGTTCTGCTGTTCATCCAGCAAAAAAAAAAGCCCTGCAGTAACCATGCAAAAATCATAATTCTGTTGTGGCTAGGGTAAAGTTAGTCAAAGTCTTTGTGGGCCCAAACTCTCCATATGACTGAGACCTTCTGCAGTAGATGAGAAGAGCTCCCAGTCTAACAGAATTACACATACCTGGCCACTGGTTAGGTACCAGTGGCTACAGAGCCCATTACTCACATACTCACACTGATCCTGGACAGGGTGCTTTAAAAAAAAGAACAGGATTCCTTTAGGGAAGAGTCCCCAGGTTAGAGTCACAGCTCAAGTAATGGCTTCAGAGGAGTGACTGCTTATCAAAGTTAAAATTACATGTCTTAATCTCATCTCCAGAGCTGAGCCTGTAAAAGTGAGCTTAAAAATAAAGTAATAATAATAACAAAAATAACTATTTTATCTGCCAAAGCAGAACAACAAGCAAGAAAGCAGTGTGCCCATGGTGTAATGTCAGCCTTGGCATGTACTGTGGCACAACCAAGACTTTTCTTAAAATATAGCTCAGGATTGAGCACTTGAGCTGATACTAAACAAGGCATCAAAAGTTGGTGGCTTTGTTTAGAGACTTTAAACATGCAACAGTGCATCTTCCTGACTGCTGAAATTTGCTTCCATTTGTTTTGAGAAATGTCTGTTGTCGAGCTGAAAATGCTGGACAGGCTAATGGAAATACAGTCTAATTGTGATAAATCTGGGTATTTTTTTCCACTCCTCTGCCATCAGAACAAGCCACTTCATTTTGAACACGGGCCAAAAAAATAACATTGCCTTTTGTAGGGATCCACAAACAGCATATTTTACAATCTGCCCAATCCTATATGGATTAGGGCTGGAAAGGAGGTGAGCAGGAGGTGAAGCGCTGTGCCCCCAGTTTGCTGCTACCTGTTGTGGCAGAGGCTCAGTGTCCCAGCTCACGCAGCACACACGGAGGGGAGCGTGCAGCACACGTGGCAGGGCCCCCAGCCCTCCTGCAGATGGGTCAGTGCTGCAGAGCTGCCTGCAGGAGAGGGGCTGTGGGGTGGAAATGCCGCCCGGCGGGTCTGGAACAAGCCCTTGGCTCGCTCTCAGACTCTTTTGCAACTGCAGACAATTTGCACGGTTCACGTTTTCTTTTGGAAATTGAGAGAACGATCCCTGCCCTGCTCTCTCTGGCTGCCCTTGGGTCTGGACTCTGTGGCATCCAGGCCAGCAGCTGTCAGAGTGTGCTCAGTGTCAGCTGAGCAGAACACCAAAGAAATAACAATCCAGAGGCTCTTCCGTTAGTAGAACAGCGCAGAGAATCTTTAAAAAACCTACAGTTTTATAGCAAAATACCCAAGTGACAAACTCCTTAGAGGTGACAATATGTAGGAGAATTAGCAATGGGAGGGAAGTGGAATTTCTGAGTATTATTATATGCCATTAACAACTTTCAGATCTACTGTGAGTGCTTTGTTGCACCTTGGTTTGTAGTGATGTGTTAAGCTTCCTAATGACACTTTTTCTGAGCATCTAAAAACCTTTACATTTATTGAGTTCTAGTGAGTCTGTAGAACCTGAAGTGCTCCAAAACTTCTGTTTTGAGCAACCTGAATAGCATCCATCAAAGCAAACATCCTAAAACCTCTCCTTTCAAGGCACTTGTTGAACACTGTCATCTTGAAATGTCAGATTCACACACATTTAAATGATTTGACAGCTTCCAAGAAGGCACCTGATAAGCATCACATTCAAGTGTCAAGAAGCACAGAGAAAAAGTGCCAAAAAAAGTTCAATCAGAAGAAATCGTATCAGCTATTAGATGAGCATTATAATGCAGTTACTACTAAAAAAGGCTTCTCATTTAAATGGAAAATAAACTTTACATTCAAGATAACTCTTTTTTAAAAAGCCTTACATTTCCCCATACTACCTACCATGTTTGGCATTAGTGGAATCTTCCAGAAACTGAATCCAGACAGCAGCACCCACTGGTACTGGGTGACACCTCAAGACCACTGTAACTGAGCCATTGGAAGTGCTGCATCTGGGTTTTTGTGTGGGAAACAGTGGGTGTTATGAGAATTCACTGTCTTCACATAAAACCTTTAATGCCTTCTGTTGGCTTTCTAAAAGCTGAATCTCTAAATGAGAAGATTCTTGAAAAAAATCCTGGCCTTGATTTGCATATGCTCCAGTTATTTCACTGCACCAAATACTATGTGTGTTTTATATAGGGGCTTGAGGCTTACTGTGTGTTTGTGATATGCTTTGAGATCCTCTGATGGGAGGTGTTACCTAAATACAAGTAATTTGATGCTGAAGTGTCTAGAATTCCCAGTGGACATCTGTACTCGAGCCCTGCTGCCATCACAAATGAAAAACATTTGGAATCCTTAATGTGATTTTTAATGGACATATGTTCATAACACAGTGCCACCAATTTGGCATATTTAGTGTCTTCTCAAGAGAAGCCCACAGTTTGTATAGCAAGATTGTGGGAGGTTAGGATTGCAGTGTTAGAAAATTTGCACAACACCTGCCTGACTGTAATTTAATTGGCAGAAATTAATGCTCTGGGTTTAGGAATTTTTTTCCTCCTCTCAAAACCTAGAGACACCAGGACTGATTCTGCTGTATTACACTGTAGTATGTAAGATTTTATTCTGATTTTACTTGTGCTGAAATATGATAATTTCCTGGTCTACTGTCTTCCTGACAACTGAACATTGCTGGCTTACTCTCAGTTATTTCTATGTACACTGACTTACCTGGCCAGCAAAAAGCACTCAGTATTTTTGTACTTTTCTGAAAAAGGGCTTTGCTTAGTATTACTAAAGGTTATGCTCCACTTTATTTTTAATGACAGTACTTTATGACATGTTCTAAAAGGAAAATGTTTTTGATCAGCTCCACCAACACCACAGAATGTGGAGTCTAAAGACAAGCACCAGCTTTGCCGTAATTACATTGGTTTTGGATTTTATCTTTGCTTACATCACAGCCCTATCTGGAGCATTCTTTAGCACCTCTTATCCCACCAGATTTTTGTTTTCCTTTTCGGGAATGTTTGGCCTTGCCATGCATCAAGGACAGCCCCTCTTACCTCACTGTTTTCTTCCCTTGTTTACAAAACACAATAAAAGGCTTTGCAGGGGAGATAGAGGATATAGTCCCAGGGGGTCTTCCTGCATTGGGAGAGCCAGCCCTGCAGTGTTTTAGACCTGCAGGTGGGAAGGTGAGCTACAATCCTGATCCCTGCCAGCCTGGCTTTTTGGGGCTTGCAAGTCACTGCTGGCTGTCCCAGCAAGAACCTTGCTGGGAACATCCAGCTGCCTCACAAACCTGAGCAACAGCTGGCTTGTGAACACCCTATATACAAGATAAGTCAATTTTGTTGCTTTTCAGAACTCCCTGAAACTTAGCTGGGAATCCCAGATTTCCTGTTCTGCAAACTACCAATGACAACCATGGTAGGAGCCCCATCAATACAAAAAAGTCACAAGTTGGCACAAATGCATCACCTTATCCAGGGTCCAGATGCTTTGCTAAGACTGGGTGTAAATAGAGGGAGAGGAAATGGCAGCAGGGTTGTTTCTACAGTTCTGTTTGTCTGAAATACTTCAGTCTTCACACACCCAGACTGCATGGACAAATAGACGTGAGGACCACCTTTCTTTATGGTCACAATTGTCTAAAATAGAATAGGGGAAGCTAAAGACAGGCCTGCAGAAACAGAGACAAGAGCTCAAAGTGCCTGAGATGATCAAGTGTCTGATATCACACTGAGATAACCCTCAGAATTATAAGAGTAATAGTGCCTGTTGATATCAGATAGTGCCACAACTGAAACAGATACAGACTCAAGTCTGTGAAGACACACACAGTGAACTTCACCCACAGAACAACAGTGTGCAGCCCCAGCCCAGAGCAGTTCTGTGCTTTTGCTCTGAGTACTAATTTAGGGATGGGTTAATATTTTATGACCTCACCCCCATAGAACTCCCACTAAAATAAGACATAATATTTGAAAGAAGAGGTTAATTATTGAGACAGTTGCCGCTCTGCCTCTTCTGAGGTTGTAGCAATAGGAAATAACTGTTTAGTTTGCAAGAGCCTAAAACAAGCCATAAACAAAAACTCCCTTGCCTGCACTGAAGGAACCCCAACACTTAGATTTATATTGCTAGGGATTTTTTTAGAACTGCATAGACAAAAATAAGAGCTGTGGGCCTTACGTAGTGGTTATTCAGGCCTGTCAGTGCTCACTGTTGAACTTTATACCCAGATCAGGCAATGTTCCCAAGGTGAGTAAACACTCCTTGGACGAGCCTCCACTTCACAGCCAGCTAGTGACCATCTGCCTACAAAATGTGCCAGCTGCACTTTGCCTCTGTGCATGACCTCCGTGTTCCTGGTTCCAGAAACTCTTTGTACTCAACCTTTCCCACACGCCGAGAAGTTATGACGTTTTTGATTTCAAAGCCAAAATGGATCAAAGTTTGGTTAAACTGCTAAATTTTGTAACTTCTTCAAAACAGCAAACCCAGGGGCTAAGAATCTCCGCTTTCAGCATTCATTAATCAAGCCTGTTAAATGATTACCCCGCCAGGGCTGCTTTGTTGACAACTCTGCATGATGACAATGTCAGTGGCACTGTCCCAAGACACATCCAGTGGTGATGTAAAGGACAAGCCTCCTTCACCTCAACTGGTGGGATGGACACTACCATGAAGCATATTTAAGGAAGGAGGTGCATCCTTGGAAACCAGCAATTTCAAGAGAGCTCCAAAGCAAGTGAAACGGGCTCAACTGAAAGGTACAGCAAAATCCTCTCTGGAATCCAGCTCCAGCTTCCATAGACAGTAAGTAGAATGGCCTCTATTTTTTCCACCTTAAATTAG